TTTCAGCTGCTGCAGAGAGATTCAGTTTGATCGAATAGAACAACTTCAGAGGCTGAGCAGCATGTTTAGAATCACATCTGATTTAAATTTAAAGAGTCAAATATTCTCATTATTACCTTTTGTCTCAGATAAACATTGATTCCTTACAGCTCCACTGACAGCATGTAGCTGCTGGTGTGTACTGCTCAAAGCTCCACTAATCAATGTCTTTAGAGTAAAAATGAATCAAATACTGTGAATGGAAAGTGGTCACTGGGACAAACCCCCAGCTGATTTCCATGAACTCTTTTAGCTGTGTGTATATAAGCAGATATAAATGTGACTGTTGAGTCAACATCAGACTGTAATGTGGCCTTCAAGGAAACACGTCTGTTGTAATTTTCTACTGCAGGTCCGCTGAGCTGAGATCCACGAAGTCACGAGAAGAGATCTGAAAACACCACCGAGGAAAAATCCCAACGCCCCAAACGAACCACGATGACTTGAAGACGCTGTTAAAAGAAAGTCGATCTGAATCAGGTTTCACATCAATGTAGCACAAAACTGATCATATTGTTATTCATAAAACACATAAAACAATGTATCGAAGGTTTACTGACTCAACTGCGACCGTCTGTGAAGAAACACTAAAACGGATGTTTTGTGATGGGATGCTCGTCTATAGTTGATGATTTAAGAACAATTAACTCAACAGACTTTTAAATCAGTGTGTCGTCTCATCACTTGTTGCTGGCAGTATTGTCTATTAGTATATATTGCCATACTTGTCCATGTATTGTCCCGTTGGCTAAACGTTAATAAACCAAATTATATATCAGAATCAGAATCAGCTTTATTGGAATTTGAATCTGTTTTTTCAGTTGCTCTCAACGTACAAAGACAAAAAACAAGAACAACAAAGTAGAACAAAGGTAAGAATAAACATTTAACGACTATTTACACATATACATATTTAAACAAAAGTATATATATGAACATAAAACACAATGACAATGAAATGGAGATAGTAATGTAAGAACTCTGAATGGGTTCACTTCTACCTGTCAGTGAGAACAGCTTGGAGTATTTGTTGAAGTATCTTAACGTTGTATTTAGAGCCTGTGTGTGAGACGGTGGAAATGTGGTTTTACGCTGGATTAAAAAATGACCTTTGAAAGTGTATGAAAAGTATAAAAGGAACATCAATGGCATGTTGGTTTGAAGTGTATTTGATATAATAAAGGTATGTTTCTGCTTTGTTTTCTTTAGACAAACCCACAATCAAAACACATTGTGACTATGCGGACACTTTGGTCATACATAAAATAAACACTGAAGCATTAAAAACTACCAGTTCTTGTGAATTCTTCGTTCCATCACGCTCACAGACAGTAAACTGGAAATCAAGCAAATTCTTCACCTTTATCATTTTCAGTGATTTTTGTATAATATTAGTTGGCAACTTTTTCGTCAGATTTCAAATTAAAGCCCATCATGCTTTTTTAATGTCTTTAATTATTTTACACAGTCGAAACTCCTCATCCCAAAATAAGATTAATAATGTTAAATATTAGTTATGTATCATTCCAGTTTATTATTATTATATAACAACACTGAATATCTGGAAAAGTACTTTATCAGCGTGTACTCCAACGCATCATGAAAAGTATGGAATTTTATAGCTGAAAAAGATGTGATAACAAAGTTTAAATATATATATAACATTGATATATATATATATCACATTATTTTTGTTGGATGAATTGGTTGATATGTGAAATTTCCGATATTCCCGGCAGCACCTGAAGGCAGCCCCAACCGCCCACCCTTGTGACTGAATTAGTGACGTCACTGCGTGGTTGCTTTTCACTTCCGTGTTTTGTAAAAGCAGCAAAAAACAATGATGGCGTCTAGTTACAACGCCAAAGACGAGGACGGAGCCGTCACCGTGTCGCTGCGGAGCAAGAAGCCGGAGAACACGGCCTTCAAGCAGCAGAGGCTGCCCGCCTGGCAGCCCATCCTCACCGCGGGCACCGTGCTGCCGGCCTTCTTCATCATCGGGCTGCTCTTCATCCCCATCGGCATCGGGCTGTTCGTGACGTCCAACAACATCAAGGAGCTCGAGGTGACGACGTCACGCCAAATCTCGTGCAACAATTGCGCAATTTAACTTAAATCCCGCATATCTGGAGGTTTCCACGGCGCTTGTAACGCAACATCAACATTATGTGAAACGTTAGGCTTCACCGGTAAATTCGGCTAAACACGTGACCGAAGATGAGCTTTTATTTCAATAATAAACGTCACATCTAACTCCCAAAACATTGCTTTTGTCTGTTTAATGGAAACACTAAAATGGGTGATTTTTAAACGGAGTTTGGTGTTTTCACAGGACGGTTGATAATCTTTGTTATTGTAATTCAATAACAGTGATAATTTATCTTTATTATGCATGATGTGTAATCTATGATTGTATCATGGCTGCAGCCTTATTACAGATAGACTATTAATTTACAATAAAACTTCTTTACTTTGACTATTTCTTCATCTTCTAACCAGATTTTAAGCTCCATTTTGTGGTTGTGCTGGAGTGTAACGCTCGCTGTAGCTACTGTTTCTATATTCTATGTATTGTACAGATTGACTACACGGGAGCGGACATGTCCAGTCCTTGTTTCAACTGCTCCCAGAACTTCAGCTGGAACAGCACCAGGCCTTGTACCTGCACGATCCCCTTCTACCTGGAGCAGCCGTACGAGGTGAGGTCGCATGCTGCCGATGCTTGTTGTCTTGCGATGCAATGTCTTTTATACTTTATTGTTTCTAACCATACAGAGCAACGTCTACGTGTATTACGGCCTCTCCAACTTCTACCAGAACCACCGGCGCTACGTGAAGTCGAGAGACGACAGCCAGCTGAATGGAAACATTAAATCCCTGAAGGTACCGCGTCTGATCCGTTAAAGCTGTGTACGAAAACACGAGTTCAAACGTCGGAAACCACAAAATCCTGAGACGGTTTGTTGGTTAAACTTCCGTTAAACTCGGTCGTTTGACGGTGTTGTTGAGCACGTCGACCAGAAGCGTCGTCGTATATTAAACACACCAAGGAGGCTGATATCAAGGCCGGTTCTCCAGTGAGAACGCAGGTAAAGATTGTGAATGTTTCTGGGTCTTTTATTTATGAACTGAAGCCGTTGAATCGCTCTTCAAAGCCACAAGACTCCATCGATGAAAACATGAATTTTACCTCCAAGAACACGCTTCATGCGACCTCCACTTAAAAACTTCAGCTCAGCTAACTTTGACTTAGCTCGTGCTAGCGTTCACGTTACGCAGATAGTCGATCTTTAATTAATAGATACATTATTAAGGTAAAAACTGAATTGATCCCAGACCGCCTCACGAGTTTTGACCACTAGGTGGCTTTAACCTTCAGTCTCCTCGTCTCCTTCTTGTCTCCTTCTCGTCCTCGTCCCTCACAGGAGCCCAGTAAGGAGTGCGAGCCGTACGCTTACCATGAAAACAAGCCGATAGCTCCGTGTGGTGCCATCGCCAACAGCATGTTCAACGGTGAGAACCAGAACACGACGCATCGATTTCCATTTAAAGAATCCACTTTTATGAATCTAAACGTCCTTCTTTTGGCGGCAGACACATTGGAGCTGTTTTACAACGACCCCAACGGCACAAAGATCCAGATCCCTCTCAACACGACCGGCATCGCCTGGTGGACCGACAAGCACGTGAAGTTCGGGAACCCCGGAGTCGACAACCCGAACCTTACCGCCGTCTTTCAAGGTAGCAGCGGCAGCTTTTGGGTTTAAGTTCAAGCATACTGAAAGACCATTACCTCCTGAACCTCAACACATACGGACATTGTCAACACGCACTCGTCCGTCTCTGTTCTTTCTATTTCAGGAACAACCAAGCCGGTGAACTGGCGCCGGCCCGTCTACGAGCTGGACTCGGATCAGGACAACAACGGCTTCATCAACGAGGACTTCATCGTGTGGATGAGAACCGCCGCCCTGCCCACCTTCCGCAAACTCTACCGCATCATCGGCAAGAAGAACGGCCTGGTTCCAACTCTGCCGCGAGGAAACTACACGCTGGAGGTCGTCTACAGTATCCTTCCTGTGAAACTCACCACAGTTTTATAAATGAGAGAAGAAGAAGAACACATTTGACTCCAGTAGATGCTGAGAACTCTGGTCGTCTCAAACACAATGAAACCCCCACAAGTAAGTTCACAAAATGTGACCAACAAGCGGAACATCTGCACAAGACATCAGGTTTCCAGGTGTGAACATGTTCAGAGAAATGCTGACGAAGGCCTTTTGTTCCAAAGCACAGACATGAAATCAGCTTTTTAACATTATTATTCTTTCCTATAGTTATTAGTAACCAGACTGTCTGTCTGTTTTTTATGATCCTACAGCGACATGAAAGCATCAAGTGACAGAAATAAAACATAAATAAAAATGTCATTTTGATCGGTAGACAAACCTTTAACCGGTTGAACCAGATTACCCCGTCCGCAGCTTCGAGGGCAGGAAGCGGATGATCCTGAGCACCATCTCCTGGATGGGCGGCAAGAACCCGTTCCTGGGCATCGCGTACATCACCGTGGGCTCCGTGTGCTTCTTCCTGGGCGTCGTCCTGCTCGTCATCCACCACAAATGCGGCAACCGGAACAACGGTGGCGACATTTCCAACTGAGCCGGGGCGTCCGTCCGTCCGTCCGTCATCCAGAGACCCCCGACACTGGTACATGAATATTAAAATATGGAAATAAAACGGTTCTTAGGGCTTGAAGCCGCTGATTATTTGCCAAAGCGAACGGAAAAGTAGCCACAAATTTACCACTTTTGACAGATGTTCAACGTCAGACTGATAACTGCCTTCACTGTAGAAACTGCAGTCAGAGTTTCTGGAAGAATAAGTCAGTTTTTACTTATAAAGCCATGTTTACCAGCCTGAGGAGGAGTTCACATCCTACCGTTACACACTGATTATTGCTCTAATGCCAATTCTTTCTTCCCGTACTGATCCGATACCAGTGCATTACAAACAAAAATATATACGTGAACAGCTGTACGCTACTCCGCCTGTGTAGATGTGATCGCTGACTGCTCTTAGGCCACAGAAACATGCTTACATCTATTTAACATTACCTCCTGGCATTAAAGAGAAGCCCGCAGTTACAGAAAATGTGATAAATATATGAATACTTATACAGCTCTTCATTTTGGGATAAATACTGTTTGTTGCACCTCTGAGCTTCAAGCTGCTGCAGTCAAAGTGAGCTGGAGTGTCGCTCGGAGTCCCGCGTTGCATGCTGGGTATTTTCCGAGATGTAAATGTGATCATTGAGCTCGAGCCGCTCGTCTTTGTGCCTCGTTTCGTCTGTGACATCAGCCCACTTTCAAACTAAAACCAAGCTTTTTGTCGTTTAAATAAAATGTAAAATAATAATTTTAAAAAACGCATCGAGCAAGTTCCACGTCAGAGAGAACAGAAAAGGTTTGTAGCTCGAGAGCTGTACAATTAATATGTTTAATTGTATTTATTTGTAGTAAATGTTTGCATTGTAAAGCCGGTATTTGCACGACTGACTTCAGGGTTTATTGTGTGTTTAAAGTTTGACGAAGTGTAAACTGAGTGAGTCTAATGCAGGAAACTGACGCTGCGTTGTGGCTTCATTCATTGTCGGTAACATGCAATAATAATAACATCAACGCAGCATGATATGACTCAATACGTGTGATTTAATGTGCGTTTGTCTCATTTACAGCCAATGCACATCACTGTTCCACACACATCCTGCCATCGTTAATACAATAGATGCTGTGTGTTTAAATGTGCAAGTGACAATGTTAGTTATTGGTTTCTTTTAATACATTTCATCCAATCGTCTGCAATCATGAGACGCACTTGATTCAACATTTCTTTTTATACTTCATCTGTGTCGTGTCGTTGCTTTAAATGAATAAATGTGTCGTTTAAATTCAAACTAGTTCCTCTGACTGACGTGTTTGATTGTTCCTCGCTTTGTTTTATCAGCATGATGTTTAGGATGTTATCATAGGTTTACTTAACATGAGATACACTTTATTGATACCCAGGAGAAAGGACACATACAATTTACAATGTAAAAATAAAGAAAGAGACTTCAAGAGATGTGTACAAATACATCACAAAAACACTGATAATGTGTCGTATATTAGGGAGGATTTAGAGTTGTCCTTCTGAATAAACAAAGTATACATTTTTTTGAAAGTAGACAAAGTATTATTTTTATCAACAGAACTGGAAGAAGTACTCGGGTATTTTATTTCAGTAATATAAGTGTATAAATATTATGTTAAAAGTTCTGCATTAACATTTTTAGTTAAGGGTCGGCATCAACAAATACTGAAAGTACCAAAAGTAAAAGTACTCATGCAGAACAATGTATATATTATGTTATTGAATCATAATTATTGATGTAATAATGTGTTCATGACTAACATTGCAGCTGGTACAGGTGAAGTTTATTTTAATTACTTTATAGTTTAATATACAGTATATATTGTATATTATATTATTCAGAAACAAAAAAGAGACAACAAATAGAACAGGTATGCTAAGAACAATACAATATGTAAAATATATAAATAAAAAAGGAAGTCATAAGAACAATGAAACATGTAAAAGTTAAGAATAGAACAAACGAAGAGTGGCAGTAAGTTAAAGTTAATCGTTTAAGAATAAATTGTGTAGTTCGTATTACATACTGTAGGTGGCAGCACAGCGCGCAGCACAAATACAGTCTGCCGTCAATATCGGCGAAGAAGAAGAAGAAGCTGAAACCGGAAGCGGCTCTCTTGTGTCCTTGTGTGAGAGGCGACTGTAGACGGACTGTAAAGATGAACAGAAGCATATTTGTAAGTTTATTCTCCTCTTAAACTTAAATGTTTGTCTAGTATAAATATAATTTAACTAATAACGCGGATATACGAGCTGAAAATCGGTGTTAAAAAGCAAAGTGCGGCTCCATTGAGCTAGCTATGAACTGAGGTAGGGGTCAAATTCGGGTAACGTTAAGACTCCGTCGCCGGAAGAGTTAGCATTAGCTTAGCTTCCGTGCTAGTTTTACGAGCATTCCCTCGCCTTTTAATTTGTTGTATTTATATGTAAACGTGGGCTTAACATTACATTTGTCTAAAGCGGGTTCAGTGCGTCCTCGCCTGTGGTGACTTCTTTGCTGGTGTTCCGTGTTGTTCTCAGGCTCTCCAGCAGGTGGCGCGGCGGACCCTCTCCAGCTCCGTCCGCCGGCAGGTCGACAACAAAGTGCCGCAGAATCAGAAGATGTTTCAGGTAAAAGAGAACACAATAATCTGATTTAAATACACATTAACTCCGCTATAAGACGTTTATCACATAACGTCCCTTATTATGTGACCTAAGAGCAGTGGTGGAATGTAACTTAGTACATTTACTCAAGTACTTACACATTTGAGATTTTAGGTAGTAATCCTGCTTTTGCATTAGTACACAGGTATTAATAATCTAATGGTATAATAATTATTATTATTATTATTATTATACTGTCACATGTGACATTTTTTCTGCTTTTAGTACTTTTATTAAGTACATTTTCCTGATTATGCTCATACTCTTACTTTAGTAAACCTTTCAGATTAAGAGCGGATATATACCATATTCTGCCGCAGAATAATGAAACCTCAGCCTTATGAATATAAGAGTTATGAGAAATGTTGCTGAAACAGCAAATCTAGGACTTCAGAATTGTTTTAAAAATGTCTTCAAATCCAGAATAAATAAAAACACTCACTGAGGATCTTGAAAGGCTGAAAGCAGACATTTAGTGACTTTTGCACTTTGACGAGGTCGAGTAGCAGCTTCTTTCTTGTACGTTCTGACGTTGGTGGGCTCACTTCCTGGTTCGGTTCCTCCCGGTTCTACAGTGAACGCTGCATGTCTCCATCTCTTTAGCCGTGGTTCTTCTCATGAAGCTCTGAAATCCTTTTAGCTCCAAAGATAAGTGTTTATCGTGTGAACGAGTGGACTACTAATGACTACTACTACTAATGGTGTATGTCTCTCTGTGTTTCACCTGCAGAATATGTGATTATCATTTCCTCTTAAAGATTGAATGAGTTGATGTTAGATGAGGCTGTGCAGGAGATCTCAGGCTTGTGTTCTTAAAATAAATAACTTTTAGATGTCGCAGACTAAACGGACTGGTTTCATGGCTGGAATATGTTTTTAGGAAGTAACAGCAATGATTGAATCCAGACTGCATGACGAGCTGGAGCCGCTAAACACGACACAGACGCTTTCTTTAGTTTGTAATCATAAAATGAAAGTACGTTGACCGAGGGTACGCGTTAACAAAAGGTCTAGATGTGTTTAAAGGGTTGGGGTTAGTTGCAGTCGTATCATTCCTCCTCACATTGATTTATTGAGTTCCGCGTTGTTGCCGGTTCTAAGTTCTCCGTGTTTGTGGTTCTCAGGAGGACAACGGGCTGCCCATTCATCTGAAAGGAGGCAGCGGAGACGCCGTCCTGTACAGATTCACGATGGCTCTCACCCTCCTGGGTGAGAACACTGATCCTCACCTTCTTACCTGCAGAGTGCTTTCATTCCTCGTGTAATCTAACGTGTGTTTAATAACGTAGTTGTGGCCGCACCTCTTTTATGATTTAAAGTCACAGCGAGAGAGGAGTCGCTGTCTTTGTCTTCTTTAATGTGACGTGTTTTAAAGGGAAACATTTTTCTTTATAAATCTTCTGAACATTAATGAGCACAACTCCACTTCAAAGTGAACACAACCTCAAAGATGTTTCAGTGAATACTCAAAAGATTATTCCCACTTTTTAAATTATTTTAATGAGAACTGTCTTTTGTGACTTTGGTTACTTTGTACAACAGGAACGCTCACAGTTGCTTATTTTATAACCAACAGTAATTTAAATAGTGTTCTGAAGATGTGATCAGATAATTGTGTTGATCAGTTGTTGTTAAACCGGTTTCTCTTCCAGGAGTCGGGTTTGTTGTGTACGAGCTGGTGAAGGCGGCGTTCCCTCAGAAGAAAGGTTAACTCCTCCCCCTCAGATGTTTACATTTCAACATGAATATCTATATTCTGTAAAAAAAAGATCAGATAGCCCTCCGCCTGTGTGTTTCCTGTCATGATGGGATATTGTTTCACGTTCATGGGATCAATATTTATTTCTTGCTGATGACCTGAGGATCAATAATAATAAAGATTACCTCTCATGATGTCTTTCTCTGAACTCTTACTTGTTTACACGCACGTTTTAAATAAAGTTTGATGCAGAAAATACAACGTTAATGATTTAATACAAAATTTAAAGCAAAACAATCTTGTGCTGTGTTTAAAAATCAAATGTGTTGGTTATGATCAATAATCAAGTACTCTACTTCTTTGGTACAGCAAATAATAATAATACAGAAATATGATTATTAATGATTATGAACAGGAAGTTATTTCTTCCTCTACTTAAATTCAACGGCGGTGGAAAGAAATCTAGTTTGTGGTTCTCATTGCTCTAAAATATGACTTTTATATTTTGTATTTTATAAGAAGACACCAACAGTTTTCACTGGAACTACTTTCCACCAAAGAAATAGTCCCTTTGTAAACTGCGTACCGTGCAATAAACCCAAAACTGTGCACGACTTGATAGTCTGACCATTTAGGACACTTATTTTTAAAACTAATGCAGTAATGACAGCGCTGCAAAAAATCCTCTCCTCGAAGGTTGCAATGTTTTGTTGAAACATTTTTTGAGATATTTTGGTGATCTTTTATTTTTTTTTGGAGAATGTAGTTTGTGTTGTATTGACGTGTTTCTATTATTTTGTCCACCCAATTTAGGCTACAGTCACACATCTGAGACTCCTCAGTGTCTTTAGGGTCCTCACTGTGACCTGTTACTCTGTATAGATACTGTACTTATGAACTACGGCAGAAGAAATGTAAAATAGATATAATTTGGCTGCGCTGACTTTTTAAAACAAATTTCAAAACTTAAACATGTTTAATTCCACACTATGTTTTCCACAGAATACACTTGAGTGCAGTATATGTTTTTAAATGTTTAATCAGGGAACTGCACAAAGTTTTCCAACAAGCACAATTTATCCTGTAACTCTTCCTGTCTGAACGTTCAGTGCTCTGCCACTAGAGGGCGACGTTTACAAAGAGATCACCTGAGAGTCTCAGTCAACAGATCTCCATGAAGAGTGTTTTAGTGGGTTAATGCCCTTCAACCACTCAACCTGTCCATGTTAACTTCTGCTGCTTCTGGGCATAAACAACAGGAAAGTTAAAGAATTTAAAAAGGTCAATTATGCAGATATCTCCCGTTCATGTACGTCTTTGTTTCTTTGGATGGATTCCTCCCTGTTGTCTGTTTTAATTTAACTCCGGAGTGCAGACGGCCTCGGGCCAGTTCCGCTTTCGGTCCACACCCAAAATACCCGACAACACATCGCTGAACGCTTTACAGCCAGCAGAGAGGAGCTGAAGCTTGAATACAAAAGTAAAGAAAAACATTTCAGGAAACTGCTGTGTCAGCTGTAAGTCTCTAATTGGACGATGCTGAGAACCAGGAAGGGACGAAGAGAGTACCAGAGTCTTCTGAGGGTCCTTCAGCCACCTGTCACAATTTAACGATTTAAACTTTATGGTTTTGTTAAAGAGCCAACTAGTGGTATTACAAATGTATTTGATGACTTGTAACAGATGTTTGAGGTGCTGCTACTCATGAATTTGTCATTTTGATGCACTTTAGTCGGGGCGACTGTGGCTAAGTGGATAGCAGGGCCGCCTTTCTATCAGAGCATCGGCGGTTCAATCCCCAGCTCCGCTAGTCGCATGTCGATGTGTCCTTGAGCAAGACACTTAACCCCAAAATTGCTCCCGTAGCTGTGCCTATGGTGTAGAAATGTGATAGACTCTGAATTGTAAGTCGCTTTGGATAAAAGCGTCTGCTAAATGACTGTAATGTAACTTTAACACATTTTGGAGTTCAAGAAATTCTTAGATTCCATACAAAGTTTTGAGATTTGAGGCCGTTATTTGGTGCTATAACCAGTTCTGAGATTATAACAATTAATGTGGAAACTAACACATTACAAACATTTTAGGATTCTGCAAAATAATTCGTTTTAATTTTAGCCGCAGAGACAGAATCGCACTCATTTAACTTCAAATTCAAGTCATTTTAACATTATTTGTGACTTTGATGACACACGAAGGCCAAGCTAAGCTAACGAATTGCTTAGTTTCACATTCACATGAGTTATGTTGTACCAACTACGTCTAAATAAAGCGAACTGGCTTGCTAGCTTAGCTATCGTTAGCTCCTAGCAAGCAATTGAACATCCATTGATGCTAATGAGGTAACGTCCTCACTACGCAAGATAACTATTAACCCGTGTTATAACATATGAATAATGCTCATGTTGGTTTGTTGTCTGGCGTCATTCTTTTGTGTGTCTTTACGATTAAGTAAATACGGTAACATTACATCGATGTGATGTTTATTAGGCCACAAATGAGACAAAAATTTGCATTAGCTAGCTAGCACACCCCGCGTCCCTCCGCCGGTACGGTAATACATTTGTAATTTTCACATGTTCATTCATAAAAGCTACAAGACGTTTTCATTTTTACCTTTCTTGGGTTTGGTTTTTACAAATTTAGGGACACAAAAATTGCACCGTAATGAAGAAAGAAAACATTTGGGATTTGCCTTCATTACAGTTTTTGGATGACGAGATTTTTGGACACCTTGACTTAAATCGCCCTTAAAGTGTGAAGAGTTGTCTCTATTTATCAGCCCTGTGATTGGCTGTCCACTTTTTTTAAATTGTCATAAATTAAAGTTTGTGCAGCTGTTGCTTCTTTTATCAAATCCTGCCCAAAGGACCACAGACACTTCTGTTCCGTCCCTGAAAAGCCCGGAATGATTCATTCAAAAAAAGAGGGAAAGACTGACTTGTGGGTTTTAGTATTTCTTACCAGACTGTGTAATATTTTCCCATCGATTCACGAAATGAAAAAGAGGCTAAAAGTCCCCCCTCCCCATCCCCGCTTCTGTGGCCGAGACGCACAGAAGCGCCTCCATCACCGCAAAGGAATGTAGAAAACTATGTAAAAGTTTCCGAGTGTGCGTGTTCGTCCCTGCGCGCGCGCGCGCGTGTGTGCGCGCGTGTGTGCGTGTGTGTGTGTGTGTGTGTGTGTGTGTGTGTGTGTGTGTGTGTGTGT